AACTGAAACATCCAAGGCTGATTGCAGTGGTTACGAAGTGGGGACAGGACTGCACAGACACTTGCCTAGGAAACTCTGGTATCCCTCATCCCTGTAGCTGCAGGCCATAGAAGGAAGAGGAACGAAAATGTCCCAGCATGATGATCAAGAACAGATAAAAGTTGGGCTGGGGGTTTAGCTCAGTGGTTCCAGCGCCTGCCTCATAAGCGCAAGGTCCCAAGTTTGATACCTGGTACCAAAAAAGAAAAAGGAGAGATACAAGTAGCAACCTAATTCCTCAAAGGGACAATTTTCTTCCTACTCATCCTGTGGATTCCCTTCACCTCTCAGATGAGGGATCAGGTGCTTTTTAAAACCATTATTACTTTGGCAGTAAGAAAGCAATAGGATTGGTAAAGAGGACAGCAGAAAGTCAGTGACTGCAGAGGAGACCTTGGGCCAAGCAAATCAAGTCTAACAGGCTTTTGGAATTTCTTTGTCAAACCCCCTGTGTGCTTACCTTTGGGCAGGCTGAAACTGCTTCTTTAGGAAGGGGTATTAGGAGAGAAATGCTGCAGGGAGGAGTCTGAAAACAGGAAATCAGCAGTGTGGGCTTCCCTGGAAGGGAAGTCTCTTCTAACTCCTGGTGCCCGCTGGCAGTCATGGGCATTCCTTGGCTTGTAGGCACATCATTCTAGTACCTGCTTCCATCATATCAAGATCCTTCAATAATTCTATCTACAAAGACCCTGTTTCCAACAAAGCTTATGTTATGAGCAACCAGGTGAGTCTGAATTTGAGGGGACACTATTCAACTCATTACAGGAACCAGTGTGCACTGCCCTGGGCTGCTTCAGGCCGTAGTCTGTGCTCTAACCTCAGAGGAGTGTGTCGGTTATAGGCCAGTCCTTTAGAGTGGGCTTTGCCAGGCTGAATTCTGAAGGGTTTACTTAACAGGCATGGGCCAGCTACTTCCTGTGAGATATGTAAGTGAAAGGAGACTGCTCACAGAATCCAGGATTTATTTTTGTTTCACAAAATGTTTTGGCTATTAAAATGAAATTCTTCATTATGTTGGGCTTTTCTGTGTCATGGCTGTTATTTTTCCTGGTTGTATTATTCACCTGCTGGACAAGGCCTCACTTATGCTCTGTCCCTGAGTTTATTGTAATAAATTGAGTGTGTTAGAAGCTAGAGATAAAGACCACCTGCATTTCAGGGTCCCTGTCATCACCACCTGTAGTGGGGTACCGAAGGAGCACTGAACTGTGAGACCAGACTTAGATTCTAGTGTCAGTTCAGACACACTATAAGGGAACTGTGAGATTTTACATCCTGGTGCTCTTTTCAGTAGTCAAACATGGATGGTTAAAAGTAAAGTGGATGATAACGTCATTTCAGCTGGTGAAAGACTGAATTCGAGGGAAACTGAGGTCACATAGGGCCTCTGGTTTAAGCACCTGGGAAAAGGTGGTATCTTTTATTAACTTTGAAAGGAAGGAGGCAGACTGTTGGAGTTTATTAAGTTTGGGCTTTGTTGAACATGAGGTTGCTATGGAATATTTCTAAGTAGAAATATCTAGGAGGTAAAATTAATACTGATTTGAAGTTTCTGGGTTTTTAAGTCAGTTAAGGACTTGCCTTGTTCTATCTTAGAGCTTGGACTGGAAGCTTCCTCTTTTTGCTTCTCTTTCCTCATCTAAATGTAAAGGCAGATTAGGTGATCCTCCACACCTCTTTAGACACAAACTTTCCTCTTTTTTTTCCCCCTTTGTTTTTCTTTTTGCAGAAGAATTGGATGGTAGAATTGGAAGTTCCAGTCCTTGTTTGTCAGAATCCAATTTTAGCTCTTTTGGTTGTATATCTCTTGCTAAGAAAAAGACCTATTCAGATGTATATTGTGAGCCCTCAACATTATCCTCCAACAGTGCAAAAGGAGAAAGGATGTAGGGAGATCTAGCCAAGGGAAGATTTACCCAGCTTCTCTGAGGGTAGGATTAGCCTAGACAAAAAGGCCCAGGCCTCTTGATCTGCCCCCTCTCTGTTCGCTGGGCTTGGCCCATCCTGCGTGGTTAGGAGCCTCTTTTGTCCAGAGGAATATCTCCCCTCATTGAACACCAGTGTATCCTCTGGGCCTTGGGTAGCGGTTTCTCCCCTGCAAGGAAGCTTGAGCACGATGGGCAGTGATTAGAGCCACGCTGCCCCTACGTTTGAGTAGCCACTCTGAAGGTCTTGGCTTGTGAAAATCTTCCTACTTTTTAGCTTTTCATTTTCCCAAGACCAGAGTGTCCATATGCAAAAGGCTTCTTCTGCTTGATGTCCTCTCTTCTGAAGAGGGTGGGGAGGTGGACATGTTTTAGGAGAATTCTCAGCCTCAAGCTGAAGTGCACGCCTCTGTGAGGACTGTTCTGCGGGTGTAATCCTCACCTGGCTGCATGCTTTTTGCCATTCACCTTAACTACAGATTCTTCACAAGGGAACAAAGGGGAAAAGGATGAGTAAATGTAACAAGGGGTTCGTCAAGTGGAAGTTCGTCTCATTTAGGCCTCTGCTGTACTCACTACTCCTCAGCACCTTTGAGTTTCAGAGATTTCAAAGCAAATACTATTCTGCGGGGCCAGGTTTTGTGCAAATGTTAAGCAGTGAATTATAGATGAGCATCAGTATAGACCTAATGGGAAGTAATACTTCAGATAATAATAAATGGTCTGGAAATAATAAATTCTACCAGTCAGACCAAGAGTGGAACCTGATTCCACTTTATCTTCAATATTTATATCTTTAGGACCAAATATCTAAAAAGACATGCTTGTCATTTTTCAGACTTTCTAAAGGAAGCACACTTTTATCAAACGAACACCCACTCCCACCCCCACCCCCACCCCTCAGCTGGCCAGTTCCTGCTGGGAAGTTGAGGCAGGACTGCTAACAGACTGCGAGCTGAACATTCCTGCTCTACTGGTCTTCACCAGTCGGTATCAGTTGTATATCAGCTCTAGAGTCACAAAGAGGTCAGACACACATGGGTTAGAGATTAGTGTACCAAAGCCTGAGATTCTCTTGACTTTTATGAGCGTCTCAGAATGTCTTAAAATAGCCTAGTAGCTAAAATAACAATAACAACAACAATAATAGCTTGCCATTGCTGAGAGTGGTTGTTTGTTTAAAATCCAAGGCCCTCGTCCTGGCAGCAGTTAGTTTCCACTAGCTGGGCTCCCACAAGAATTGCTGTAATGGAAAGCATATGGTCGCATCACAGCAGGAAGCACACGGGTCTGTGAAACTGTCTCTCAGCCCCTCTGAGGGGTTTGCTGAGTTGTGAGCTATACACACCCACATACTTTCAAACTTGAAGTATGGTGTAGACCTGATTGTGTTAAAGAGATTTTATGTTTCCTGCCCAAGTAACAACTGACGGGCCAGTCCTACGGTGTGGTCTCCCAAGTTGCAATATACAGGCAGTCTGTATTCCCATAATCAGGCCCTCAGGGATACTTTTAACTTCCCAGTTGAGAAGGAGGGAGTCAGAGAGACTAGCCAGCCACAGGTTATTAAGCCATATTCCTGGGATCTCATTGGGTCTGAAAATATACAACTGCCCTCTTCTAAGTGAACAAAGTTCAGCTCTTGGCTCCCCACCACCACCATCCCGTGAAAAGCTTTTACCAAGCAGGTTAGCTGTGCTAAGCCTCAACTACCTCTTGCCCACTTGATCCACAGGCCCTACCAGTTTCCAGTTGCTCCATAGATTACAGTAATGGTGAATGAACCTTTTAGAGCTTTCAGTGATAACAAACAGCTGGCTGAAGCACACGTGCCATGGGTTCACCACCACTGCACTAGAACAATCCCCCACATCACACCCAACCAAGCAGCTTGCTGTTTCTTACTCCCTTTATTGAAAGTAAAGTTTCTGGGCATGGGAAGGATGAGGGAGACATCAGTGTTGGAATGGCTTCTTGGAGGTTGCAGTTGACTCTGGACTTTGGGCCACTTGCCTGGTAGACTTCTGGAAAGTCCTGAATAGCAGTAACTAATGGCTTTATCAAGTTACCTTTCCTGACTCCCTCAGCAGTTCTGAAAAGCATCATTGGTGTACTTGATTTCAGATTTTGACGGGTGATAAAAGCACAGATTGAGGTTGCTGCTTCACAGGGCCCAGATTCCTAACTATTGACTGATGTTATTTTTGCTTTTGCTGAGAAACGCACTCATGTGGTTGCTGATACTTTTAATGGGTTGCTCTCTGAGGCCCAGCCACTTGCCCTTTAATCTGGGAAATTGTTGTTGACCTGCATGGAACTGGACCTGTACAGTTTTAGCCTATGCAGTTGGCATGATGGCTTACTTTTTTCTCTTGAAAATACAGTCAGATTAAACAGCAACTGTAAGTGTTCCTTGTATCTTTATGGAGCTTAACTTTAATTCGGATCTCCCTTTTACTGCTGTCATCTGAAGTTTTAACATCTTAAGTGTCCTATGGTCCTAGTACTTCTGTTCTTGTACTTCTGAAAGCTCAATGGAAAATGCTTGATCATGGTTTGTCAGTAGTAACTATCTGTACTTATAAACAGGAAAACCTTCAGTTCTTCTGGTATATTGGGGTCCTGTCAGTAACTCATTGTTGTCCCGGAGACTCTGTAGAGGATTCTCGTGGGATATCTCTTGGTGGCTCTTTCTCTTCCTTCCATTCCTCAGAGGATCATATTTTCTATTCTTTGCAGAAAATTCCCACTGCTCTCAGGTTCCCTGGCTATAGTTGGAAAGACATCTATGCCCAAGGAAGAGTCCAGGCCTGAGACCTCAACAGGCCAGCCAGGCAGCAGATGCTTGCTGCCTTTTTAATTTTGTATTTATTATTCCCTTAGAGTTTGGAGAACCAAAGCCAACAAGTTGTTAAAAGAGTGAGCATAATTTGACTTCTGGCATTGATTGGGGCTCAGGGGTTACTGGGTATTTTGTTTTCTGATGTGAAACTATTTTTGGTAACCACTAACTCTTCCTTTATTCTTTTCTTGCAGATGAGCTCACAGTGCCTGCACTTTACCCCAGTAGCCCTGAAGTGTGGGCCCCGTACCCTCTGTACCCAGCGGAGTTAGCGCCTGCTCTACCTCCTCCTGCTTTCACCTATCCCGCTTCACTGCATGCTCAGGTAATTTATACCCATCGGCCACGACTTCACTCACTCCACCACCAGTCCTTCCAGACCTGGTTCCCCAGAGCACACCATACAACTAACACCTATCCAGCTAACAGAGCCACCTTCAGGAAATGAATGATCCCCTCTTCGTCCAGCTGACACCCCTCCGGGACTTATGAGGACCATCTACAGCAATGATTCCACCCACTGCCTGATGTTTGCCCCCAATGACACCTCTGTCTTCCTTAATGATCTCACCCTCATCTCACACAGAAGGGACTGAGGTGGGGTTACCTTCCTGGCTCCCAGTTAGCTCGAGGTTATCACTGGGGCATAGATGCGTGTTCCTTGTCATGTGGATGGGCTGCTGTGGTGGGCATGCCCTTGAGCTGGAGTTAATTTGTCTGTATGTTTCTGTGTCTGGAGAGACTTTTGCTGTCATGTTCCATGGGGAACAAAGAGGGAGTTCCAGGACATTCCATGTTTAGGAAACTTAGAGCAAAGATACAATACGATGTCTAGAATGTAATTACAAGTCAAGGTAGAGCCTCTCTTCTGACTCACTTACTTTCTTAGTTAAGAATAGCCCAAGTTTCATAAACAAACTCCTTTGCCTCTCCCCAGTGATGACTATCTGTATACTAACACTTCCTGTCTCCCTGGAGAAAATGTTTTTCTGAGGTTTGCTTTTAGTATAAGTAGTAGTAGTCACTGTTAAGATTTGCCTTCGGAAATAACCACTCATTCTTTGGCCTGCAGAGGGTGATGATCAATAGGAAATAAGTAGAAAGAATATAAATTCCATATTCTTAGCTCATGTGTCACTCAGCCTGGTTTTGAAAAAATTATCAGGCTAGGATAGAGGTGGGTTTTTTTTTTAATTTTGTTCAGTGTTTATTTACAAGGCTGGATGAAATTTACAGCTTCCCAGAAACTCTTTCCTTCTGACTTTTTCTTGTTGTTCAGAACTGTGTTAAGACACCTAGAAGCAGCCCCCTATGAGGGACCTTGAAAGCTGTGGGGTCAGGAGCATCATTGGCTGAGCAGCTTTCCATTCTCTCAGCTGAGTACCCATGCTTTTTGCCTGCAGTGGTGACCTGGCTTCCTGGATCAGCTCTCCAGGACACCCAGGCTCATGTAGGCCAATGGCCTTGGTGCCTGGGCTCCAGGGCTGATAACCCTCAGTTGGGAGAAGGAAGCAGAAAAGCAGTACAATTGGGGAAGGAAAATCGAGATGGTGATGAGAGGACTTGGCACAGAAAATAAAGCAGAGGATTATCTCTGCCTTGTACTTTTCTTTCTCCTCCTCCTTTGCCACTTTCTGCCCATGTCATTGCTCCAGACCCTTCCAGCTGGCAAATAACGGGAGAGAGAGCTAAAGGTAAACCCGTGACTGTCTTCTGCCAAGTCGTCAGGAGGTCTGCAGTGGGTGACAAGGAATAACTGAAAGAACCCCTTTTTTCCCTGCTTACCTCTAGTCTATGGATGAGATGTCTGCTTTACCAGATGGCTTTCAGTTAAGGCCATTAATAAATAGCAGGAAACTGCAAGTTTGTGTAGTCTACTGAATATCCATGGCTTTGTTAAGTCAACACCAAAGCCTTTCACTATTACTTTGGAGAATCCAGAGTTGACAGTGGCCGGAAAAGACGGAATAGTGGCTTTAGAGCATGACATCTGTCCTTGCTTCATTCATGTAACAGCTGAAATCAGAAGTGATTCTGGGGTTTTGGTTAGAGAAGGAGTTAGAAACCCTACATGGTGAGGCAGTTCAAGTTTAGGTGGACTCAACCATTTGACTTAATGGGATACATTGCCCACATGGCACCTTCTCCTGGCAGCTCTTCTTTTATCTTGAGTCTTTCCTAGCCTGGAGTATACTTTTCTCTGCTACGTCAGTCCTAGATTTGGTTGAACTCTCATCCAGTATCGATGAGATCCACATGGATCACTTCTTATTTGGAATCCTTCCCAGTGCAGCATTGGACTCTATATCCCAAAGAATCATGAACAGATGGTGGTTATTTAAATTTTCCATTTTGGTACTCAGAGTGAACAGATAGAAGCTTTACAGATCAGCCAATATGACCCATTTTACAGATGAGGAAACAGGCCTGAGAAGATGGAGAGAGTTGCCTAAAGTCACAGTGGCTCTACCATTACCAGACCCAGAGCAGTCACCTAACTCCTAGGCCTGTTTCTTTCCACCCTAAGGTGCTGGCTAACCAAAGACTTAACCCTTAATGGAATCTTGGAGAGGCTTCAGTCCAGTGACTTCTTGGAACTTTTTTCTCTAAGTAAAAGCGAAGCCTGTGAGAAGAGACTTGGAGGCAAAGACAAGGGAATCAGCACCTAACTGCACCCCGAGGGTGCCAGAGAATCTTACTAACTGGCGGTAGAACAGAGTGGGGAGTCCCCAAATGGAGCCTCTCCCCATAGTGAATAACAACTCAGTTTTTGTCTTGGAGATTTTGTAATGTTTTTGGAGAGTCTTCTAAGTAATTTTGCTTTTCTTAGCAATGTTATGCTCTGTTTTGAGACATGGATTTTTTTTTTCTTCTAGTGTTTCTCTCCTGAAGCAAAGCCCAACACACCTGTCTTTTGTCCACTTCTCCAGCAAATTAGATTTGTCTCTGGGAATGTGTTTGTCACATATCAACCTACTGCAGACCAGCAGAGGGAGCTCCCATGTTGAATTTGTTTGTTAGCTATTTTTCCCCCTTTTGCAAAAACTATTTCTTGGTGACATTTGAGAGATTCAATAAAAATTTTACTCAGAACAAAAAAAAAAGATCTCAAGTAGACTACAGCGTTTTGTTTTCATGGTGATTCAATTTTGGAGCAAAGGTGTTCACCTCTAACTGAGGCTTTGGGAGAATTGGGCCCTTGACAACTAAGTGTGTTATACAGGAGAAGGACTCAGAAAAAGCACCCTGGGGAGACTGGGCCTCATCACTGCTGCTTGTATCTTCTTGGGCTCCCAAATACCACAAGCTACATACTGGAAGATTCTCATCCCAGCTTCCACAGCCATCAGCTACAAGAGCGCTTACTTCACCAGGGATGGCATGACTAGCTAGTGGAAATGTGTTTGCAACAAGTGGATGTGTTTGCCACTTTGCCCACTGGGATCCAGAGGAAGGAGGACCCAAGAAATGGAACTTGCCTTTGAAAAGAAGTTGGGTCACATTGCTAGTTGTGCTCCAATTTCAGTCATGAGCTGGTGCCCCCTTAGATGTCCCAGCTCTAATCTTAACATGCTATTTGCATTCAAATCCCACTTCTTAAGAACTTACTGGCTAATAGGACTGCATACTGTGTACTGCCTTACTATTTTTAAGGATGAAAGAGCAACCCTGTGCAACAAACATCTGATTTCTAAGATCATTAACATTTTTAGAAGTGAACATCTAGCTCACTTTTCAGGGTCATTGGTATTTGAAATTTATTAAATATCTTGTGTAAGTCACTGAGTAGACATTTCACCACCATCTGGAAAGTTGTTCTCTGAAGACAGTAACCAGCACTTCCTGTTACCTCATGCTCACACATGTTTGCCTTTAAAGTCGAGGTTCATCTTTTGCTTTTAGCCTTGGTGCCTTGTTGCTGAGGCATCTTGGGGCAGAGAGAAACTGAGTCAGTAAAGCACACTGCCCTCTCCACTAGAAATGCAGCACCACACATCTTCCACTAGAATCAGTCTCAGAGTTGAACCAGAAACACTTGCAGAAATGCAGTTCTGAGACACCCAATTGCCTGCTGCCTATTCGGAGGCTGCACTCATCCCGCATCAACCCAGTCCTTTCAGAACGTGTCTGGGCTGCTGCACAGCTCGGGATTGAACACATCACTTAGGCTACAGAAACAGAACACTTCAAAGACCTGACTTCTTGGGGGCATGCCCCTTGGGAGGTCCCTTGTGTCACAGTGGAAAATTTTTAAAGGTTAAACTCAAAATAAATACAGAAGTGGACCATGGGAAAAGTAGGATGGGGAGATTATAAAGGCATAGATAGATGGGCTTAGGCTAGTGCTCTAGGGCCGTCCCCATTGACTAAGAAATATTTACTCAGCAGCAGAGGGCTGCTTCTGAGAACTGGATTGTAGGACATTTTCTTTTTTAAAATTTTCAGTAAGCATCTCTGTCCCTCACTATTGCCTTATGGAGGATACCAAGAAAAAAACACAGGGACCTGCAGTGTGGCATGAGGAATGTTGACGCAGAGCATGACACAGTGTATAGATCTGGGCATTCCCAGAGCTCCTTGGAAATAATCCTTAGCCCAGGGTAGCTATCATCCTATCAAGGTGCCTGTTGGGCCTCCTATGGCAAGGAGCCTTACTTTTCAGCCTTGTAACTCCTATTTTCAGGCCATGGTCTTTGCTGCCGTGGTGGCTGGTGCTGTTAGGGACCTGTGAACAAAACAGTCTCTCATACCCAGGAAGGGGCTTTACCACCCCAGGTACATCCTGGCTGCCAAAAGTGAGGGAAAGGTGTGAATCCCAGATGGGATCAGCTCATAACCCTGGCCCTTCACTATCCACTGTCTTCCTCAGAGCTGCTGCTTGAGCCTGTCCAAAGAACCAGGCTTTGAAGGACTGTATAAGTTGCCTGTGGGGCTGAGCAGCCCGAGGCTTGAAGTTTTTTGTAGACATAAAGGAAACTATTAATCCTCTGATGCTTACATGTCCCTCTAACCCTGCAGCTGTGTGAGGCCAGTCTGCAGAAAGAAACCATCCTCAGTGCTATGTCACCTGAAGATGTCAGCCCTGCCTTGTTGGGTTTTCTCAGAGCATCTAGCGTAGTGCTCACAGGAGACAGACAGGTAGGCCAGATATGCAGCATTAGCCCCTGCAAACAGGCTATGCCTCCCCTAGTTACTATGAGTCTCCTTTTCTTTTCCTTATGTGGGCAGGGCCTGTGCTATCACACTGTACACTGTCCATAGCCCATGTAAGTCAGACCAGGCTGGGAACACAGGCCAGGATGTGTCCACCTACCAAAAACATCC